TGTTTTGAGTGTTTTTGTCTTTGTCAGCATGCAAACTTTTGTGTCGGTTTAGTTTCTTTTTCTTTTCATTTTTGGATGCTGTACTATTGGGCTGACCATTGGACCTAACGTATTGTGTTTGAGCTCTTTGGTTTCCTTTAGCTGTGCCTGTGTTCCCGACTGATCCTCTCTCCAGTCCGTTTCATCCTGACTGGTCCATATCTAGTCCTGTGCAGTCCGTACCCACCCGTAACATCGTTCCCCTTTCCTTACCTCTTCTCCATTGAGGACAATGTCGATCTTAAGTGTGGGGGAGATGTTTATCTTTTGACTGCATTAGATCTGTTTGTGTGCTTGGAGCCTAGTCCACTGTCCAAATCTCGAGATTTGAGGGCTCCAAACACTGTTGTTTGCTTGATGTTTGATCGTATTGGCACAGCGGATGTGATTAGTGAATTGAATGGCTTTTGATTTGATGCATGACAACTTGAGTGTGACTAAGACAGCCTATTATGATGACTGAGATGTGTAGTAGAGTTGTGTAGGGGTTCAGTTTTCAACTGTTTGCTTACCAACTGTGACTTGGTTTTGATCACTTGCTTTTGACAGTCATTTATGCATCTAGTTCAGGGAATCAGAATGTGAGATAGAGCATATAGGTAGCCATGTGAGATTTGAGCCTGCTCGTTTCTTTCTTGTGCGATAGATCCCTCTTCCATGATGTGTAGCATTCACGTTGTCACTAGCTAAGATGATGGAGGCATAGGATTAGCCCACGACCAAATTGACTGTCCTGATGTGTCATATCCCCTAGTCAGCCCTTTGAGCCGTGTGTTATCTTTTCTTTCGGTCTACAATGAAAAATCACCCTTTTGCATCTTTTAGAAGGTTCCACAGAGTGGTTTTTATATGGTTTCTGCTGTTTCTGCTAAATGTAATGTGAGGGTTTGAGGTAGTGCTTAAAAGTTGAGCATGTGTTTGAAAAATGTGCAGAGGTGGCGGTTCTCTTAAGGAAAAAAAAATAAAGAAAATCAAAGAAAAAAATGAAAGCAAAAGAGAGCCACCACCAAAAATCTGAATAGTGCCCATTAAGTAGTGTTTCTTAGCAGTCTGGCTTGGAAATGCTAATATTTTTATAACCTCCTTCGCTCTCGTGCCCTAAAGAATTTGAGTAATGCAGAATAGCAGAAAGAAAGTTACTGGTTTGCTTGACTGTGATTTTGTTGGGTTTGGAAATGTGGAACCTTGTGTTATTACTTCCACCACCTAAAAGGCCTTTTCCCCACGTCCACGGCCCTAGCCAGTCATCTGAACCTGTGTCTAAGACCTCCAGATTAGTTAGTGGTGACACCCCATATGTGAACTCTAGCATTTAGGGAAAAAATCCCAAAGTACACTAGTTTTTAAAAAAATTTCCCAAAATACATAAGTTATAAAAAAAATTCCAAAAGTACACATGTTTGAGCATCACCGTTTTAGACAAAAACGGTGAAGGTCATCACCGCTTTTGACCAAGACGGTGAATACTTCACCGTTTCAAACTAAAACGGTGAAGGGTTCACCGCGTTTGTTAAGAACGGTGAATACTTCACCGTTTTAAACAAAAACGGTGAACCCTTCATTTGAATTCCAAGTATTTTGATAACTCTAAATGGTTCTCCTCGTCGATACGATCGCGCTGCCGAAAACGGCTCGTCATTTCGACCTCAAACGAATAAGATACGCGCGTTTTAGTTTTTAGTACGCAAAAGTTACTTTAACGACATGTGCAGCTTTGAGCTCACTTATCTCACTCGTTTGGACTCGGAATTGAGATCTGTAAAATTCTATGTGATCGTGGTTGATTTTCCCAACCTTTTTGTGTTGAGGGAAGATAATGATTCTTGATAAAATGATCCAGAATATTCATTCGACAACTTAAGTGCGTAGGATAGTTTTTAGACAATGCAAACTCAAATAACAACACCTAAAAATCACAAAAACAACATTGATAGTTCAGTACAATGATAAAATGATAAATTCACTCATTTGCTTCATTTTGGCCCCTATCTCCACCTCTTCCTCCTCGTCCTCCACGACGTCCTCGACCCCTTCTTCCCCCCTCCGCCACTGCTTCTTGGCGGGCTCGCTCAACGGCTGGTCGCGGATTTCTCTTGACCCGAGCCCCAACTGGGGTTACATATGGTGGTGGTGGTGGCTGAGTTGGACCGGTAGCTTGACGAATGATCGGGGGGTTCGGAGTTTGTTGTTGCGGATGTTGGAATTGAGAGAACCCATGATGTTGTTACATATGGTTCTCTCAATTCCAACATCCGCAACAACAAACTCGTGGAGGACGAGGAGGAAGAGGTGGAGATGGGGGCCAAAATGAAGCAAATGAGTGAATTTATCGTTTTATCATTGTAGTGAACTATCAATGTTGTTTTTGTGATTTTTAGGTGTTGTTATTTGAGTTTGCATGGTCTAAAAACTATCCTACGCACTTAAGTTGTCGAATGAATATTCTGGATCATTTTATCAAGAATCATTATCTTCCCTCAACACAAAAAAGTTGGGAAAATCAACCACGATCACATAGAATTTTACAGATCTCAATTCCGAGTCCAAACGAGTGAGATAAGTGAGTTCAAAGCTGCACATGTCGTTAAAGTAACTTTTGCGTACTAAAAACTAAAACGCGCGTATCTTATTCGTTTGAAGTCGAAATAACGAGCCGTTTTCGGCAGCGCGATCGTAGCGACGAGGAGAACCATTTAGAGTTATCAAAATACTTGGAATTCAAATGAAGACTTCACCGTTTTTGTTTAAAACGGTGAAGTATTCACCGTTCTTAACAAACGCGGTGAACCCTTCACCGTTTTAGTTTGAAACGGTGAAGTATTCACCGTCTTGGTCAAAAGCGGTGATGACCTTCACCGTTTTTGTCTAAAACGGTGATGCTCAAACATGTGTACTTTTGGAAATTTTTTTATAACTTATGTATTTTGGGAATTTTTTTAAAAAACTAGTGTACTTTGGGATTTTTTCCAGCATTTAGAGGCTTCATTCATGGTGAAGAGACATTAGGGATTGAGAGAATAAGCATGCGCATTTTTCGCATCAAATTGTCCTGACCCCACTGGTCGAGAGTGAGCGATTCATTTTCTCATATTCTCTATACTCTTTATCCCGGTGAGGACCTAGATTGCTCGGTCTTAATTCTGATATCTTGAGCTTTGTGCATGAAGTGACTGTTTTGAATGAGTGGTTGAGTCAAGTCTATGTTGGTTGGTGAACAGAAGGGAACTCTTCCTTTGCTCGACTTTATTGCATTCGAATGTCATCTGTGGTGGTTGTCTAGGTTGTCGTTGGAGTTTCCATGTGTTAATGATCGAAAGCCAGTATGATCCACGTGTTTTGTGCCGATATGATTTGCCCTAAAGCCTGCTTGATTGAAACGTTTTGAGCTTACATGGTCTCTGACTTGGTTTGCTTGGGGACAAGCAAACGGTTAAGTGTGGGGGAGTTTGATAGACCGATAATTACACATGTTTTCACCCCTATTCTGAAGCCGTTTGAGATGTTGATTCTCGTGTTTTAAGCCGATTTCACGCTAGGTTGTGTGTTTATGTCATATTTCAGGACCCGGCGTTGGAATCGAGGCAGAGAAACGAGTTCTGGGTCGAAAGGAGCAAAGTTGGGACGAAGTGGGCTGCTGGAGGAAAATATCCGGCCATGACCAAGAATACCCGGCCGGGTATTATTACTTTGGGAGCCCGCGAGAATCAAAGAGGGACCCGGGCGTGAAGGCAAAAAACCCCGGTCGGGGATTATTGGAGCAGACCAGGGATTTTCCCTTTACTGATACGCGCGTTTTGAATAATACCCGGTCGATACCCAAAATACCCGACCGGGTATTTCGACCAGGTATCGCGACCAGGCAGCAAATTTAAGGGAAATGAAGGCCAAAATTCGAGGGTTCCGAGTTTTAGAGAGATAGAGCGATTCCTAGAGAGAGAAAGGGACGAACCAGAGTTCCCAAGTGCCATAGCTTGATCTTCATCACCATTGGAGCCCGGCTTGAGCTTGGAGAAGTGCCGATTAACGTCCAGAAGCAGAAATCCATCTTCACAGTATGATTTCCGTGTCTGAATCTGTTTTTGCTTCTTTCTCCATGGAGTAGTTTCCCCATTCATCTGGGTATGGAGAACCCTAGATTTGTATGCTAGGTCTGATTGTATGAACCCAAGTACATAGTTTATGAATTGATTATATTCGATTGAGGTTTGAATGATTGAATGACTTGAATCCTGATCAAATTCCTGTTGTTTCTGCTTTGACCTAGAATGAGAATATCTGCCTAGGTTGATAGAGTATCCTTAATTGAAGGTAGTGAATTGGTGACTTTAGTCGAGGAGCCAATTCGCTATTCTGTACCGAATTCAATTCGGTAGTGGAGGTTTGGTTCGTTAGGACCTCAATCTGTTTACTCCGGTGGAGGTTAGTCGCCCACTAGAGACTCAGATTGAGAGGGTCTGGAGACCTTTAGTCGAGACTTCAGACTGTTTAGGAACCTTCCGCAGTATAACTTTCATGAAAACTGAACTTGGTAAATTGCAATCCGGCTTAACTGCAGTCTAGGGGGAACCATATCCGGGTGACCTTTCTTGACTTGAACAACCGTTTAACTTGCTTTGCGTTTTTGTTTGTTTGAAACTGCACTAAAATTTCACTGCTAGATAACAAGAATTCACCGAGTAGTCATCAAATCTAGGACCCGGGTTGACATTAAAACCCAAACCCACTATACTACACTTTAGGAAGTGGTTATACTTGGCCATTTTCTAGAGTGACAGTAGGAGTGAGTCAGTAAGCCATTAGGCTTACTAATTCTGTTCTGCTTGAATAACTCGGAGTAAGCTCCTCAACTTACATTCCATTCTGTGGTGACTGAGGGTGCAAAAGCACTATGAATGCTTTTGAGCCTATAGTGTCTAAGTGAACTATTAATGAAAAGAGGTGAATACATAAGAATAAGTAAAAAGGCTTCATGATGCCTCGGTACAGTAGTGTGTCCTGTTTGTATCGATGTGGGTAAACCCCACGATACTCCTGTTTGAACGCTCGTGCTCCGCACCGTGCCGATTGGGTGACGACCCACGGTACTCATGTTCTGTTCAGTTAGCCGGGCTGGGGTTATCCTGTGGCGACTCCTGTTTTTGTATCGGTCCGGGTTGTGTCCCACGATACTCCTGTTGGTGCGAGCACTCCTGTTTCGTGCTTTGTGCACTCCTGTTTCATGCCTTGTGCACTCTTGTTTCGTGCCTGGTGCACTCATGTATGTACCGGATGGGGTTTTGTCCCGCCGTACTCCAGTTATCTGATGGCTGTGCATGGCTATCCTGCAACCTTCCACTACTGTACTACTCGAGGAGTATATCATTTAGCAAATTTGAAAGTGAAATTGTATAAGCAAAATGCCTCTATCTAACATACGTTGTATGTGTTTTGACGGTGATGGGTTGTGAATATGTGAACTTGATTGATTCAGTGGAATGAAAAGTGTGATAAACAGCTTAAGTCCTGTTATGTGCTAGTAGGGGTGATAATCGGTTGGCGGTTTCTCGGCTAAACCGAAAACCGACCCGAACCGAGCGATTATTAACCGAACCGAAAACCGACTGCTTGCCTTCGGTGTCGGTGGCGGTGTTCTGTTTTGGTGATTTCTATTCACCGAAAACCGCAGGTGGAGAAACCGAGATAAACTCGGTGCACCGAGTAACCGTCTATTACCTCCACTCTGCTCTGCCACAGCGCCACTTACTCTCTTCTTCTCGTTCTCTTCTCCAATTCTTGTTCGCTCTGCTCTCCCTCCGGCCGCCTCAGCCTCTGGCAGATGAAGACTCAGTCGGAGGCGACGACATCTCAACCCAACCCTTGACGACGGCGACATCTCAATCACAACTGATCTGGTCCCTCTCTCTTCTCAGTCTCACCATCAGATTTGAGACCGCCTTCGATCTGCACCCTCAGTCTCGATCTTTCCCAGATCGAAACATGCAACAACAAGAACAAGTGAAAGGGGAGAGAAATAGAGAGGGAAGACGAGGCGATGGTGACGATGATTCGGGGATGGCGATGAATCGACGATGGCGACTGCGACGATGAGGAAGACGCGGGGATTGTGGCGGCGCTCTTTTTTCCCTAATCTCCCTCCGATTCCAAGTCTCAACCCCTCCGTCCGCCATCGAAATCCAGCGAACGAAGGCCAAGAAGGAGAAGGGGTAGCTGCAGTGGTGAAGATCGATCGCCGGTCGTCGTCGCCATCCCGTCGTCATCTCGTCCTTCTTCATCCTCCAGATCGAAGGCCAGGCGGCAGTAGCAGCAGGTCGATTTGATTGATCCTCTGTCGCCGGCAGTCGCAGCAGGCCGATCCTTGGTCGCTTGAAATCGCCGTCATCCCTTCCACCCATCCCTTCCGTCGGTCTTCAGCTAACCGCGACACCGACCCGAAACCGTCGACGGCGGTTTTCGGCTAACCGATAAGTCTATCGGTGTCGGTGGCGGTTGCTGTTTTTGGGTACTCGTCGGCTGCGGTTAACCGCGGTTGCGGTTCGGTTAAAACCGAAACCGCACCGCTAACAGCCCTATGTGCTAGGGTGTTTCTGCCCAATACTGTTTTTGTATTGATGTCGATCTGAGCTTAGAATTTATTCACTGAGCGACGACTCATCCTTCATCATCATTTTTTCCCTCAGATCAAGATCAGAAGTAAGGTATGTACTGTAGATATCGGGACTCAAGCGTGAAGGGAAGCCATGAGGTGGGCGGAGGACTCCGAACTCCTTAAATGTTTTATGTTGTGTGGATTTTGTAATAAAGCGGACTTCCCCGGTTTTCTGTTTTGACTCTGATGAAAATGTAAATTATGGTTTGAAGTTTGAAAAAAAAAAATATAGAGCTCGGGCCCGAGAATGTTTAAACTTGATGTATTTTACTGTTTCGTTTTGTAATATAAAGTAAGCGTTTTACAAGTTATATCATGATACTATGAAAATCTCTTAAGTACGTATGTTATCTTATATGAATTAGACACTTAGGGGTCGTTTGGAAGTTACGATTGTTAGTGTTGTATTTGTTAAATACATGCATTGTCCACAATACAACGTTTGGAAGTGTCAAGTTGCAAAACAATGCATGTATTGTTTTGTGTGGGTCCCACCAACAATCAACAAAAATGAGGGATTGTACAATCTCAACTAAAAGTTGAGATTGTTGTGATTGTTGGTTTAATAATTGAGCACCTTTACTTTTTCCAATTATGTCCATAGTTCTTTTTGTTTTATATTAAAAGTGGAGAACAAATATGGCATTTCCTTATAAAGTAACTTTATAACAATCAATTCATAGATTATAATCTCAACAACCAAACAATATAATTTCAAAATGCATCTATTGTATCAATGCATGCATTTATATCATAGTGATTCATAACAATACAACGATTTAACATACGCAACTTCCAAACGACCCCTAGTCAATATTTCTATTAAAAAAATAAGTTGTAAAAGAAAAAGATACATGGATGAAATAACAATAGAACAAGGGGAATTGGAATAAGGTGATATCATAAGAATAATGAGGGTTTTTTTAATCCCCACGAATTTGTCTTCAAATTTTGGACCAACAAATAAAGGATTTTGACTAAATACATTATGATTTAGATTGATATACAAATCTATCACCAAAATCCAACAAGCAAACAATCATTACCTATGATCGAAATCCCACGTCCATATCTATTATTCAAACAACCTAGTTATATATACATCTCTTATCGTCACCCTCCCCTCTCTCTAGTGCCCTTTTGAAATTCTCAAAGGTTGTCGACGGTACATTTCAGCGGTGACCAACGGTAACCCACCCATCTATTTTCCTTCTTTTTTCTTCTATATCTTTTGACTTTCCCGTTGTCCAGGGTTATGTTTTCGTTTCTTTTGTGTGCTCCATCCATTACTTGGCTTATTTCCGAGATGTCATGAGTGGTTTCATCCCTTTTCCTGATGGGTTTCAGATCAGCCCCTTAGTGGGGTTGCTTTTGCTCCTCTATTCTGATTTTCCAGTTCTGGATATGGTCCAATCTATGTGACAATTGAAGGCTATAGTCATGAAAGGTTCAACTTGTTATTCTCCTCATATGTCCATTCGTCTACCTTCATGCTTCACATTGTAGATTTTGGTATTTTCAGAGATGTTATGACTCTCGGCTTGGACTCGAATTGAAGAGCACGAAGATAGAGTTTCACCCCTCTTTTTATCGCCATCAGCCACCATTTATTCTGATGTTTTCTTGTTCATTGATGACGAAGAGATGTTGAAGACTTTTGGTAACAACTAACAAGGAATGGTTGCATGCAGGTTTTTATTTGCTTTGTAGGTCCTCAATATGGGTCGGTTGTTTCCGTCTCTCAGTCTCCGTGCACTTTGGCTCCTCGTCCGTGAACATTGCTGGGAGGTTGAAGGTGCCAAGTGTAACACCCCACCCTAAAATCATGGGTCGAATCGATGGTTCAACCGCACAGCGGAAATCACTCGGGGTTTACGTTTTGGAAATATCGACTCAACTCACATCCACATCATTATGATATGTTTAAAACTTAACTCATCATAACAATTTACTAAAAAATCACTTTCTCAATTCATTAATCAATCTTCGTCAAATTCAGGGTTCACAAAACCCAGACTATCAATCTCATCTACTCCGTTCATACTCAACTCAATTTAATGATCATACTTGACCAATGTAAATTATCATGCATGCTCAAAACTCGAATCGTAAATAAGGATTTTGGAGTACATCAATATGTGAAAAACCTTTTAAATCAAAATCCTCCATCGATCATTGTGCAGTACCAAAGTCATCCTCAATTTACCACATCTGTCACATCTAGAAAGAAAAATGGGTCAGCTACTAAGATGCTACTAAGCTGAGTGTGTGGACCTGGCCTATACGGCAAAACTATTGTTAGCATGCCATCACATCATCACATCTTGTTTATTAAAAAGACATCATCAACATATTATCATGCCACACGAAAATCTCATTAATCCCTAGATTTATTTATAGGTCATCAATCCAAATTCATCTTTACCCAATTCCTCATGGCATGATTCTCATTAATCAAGTCATATATCGAAATGATATCGTAAACTTACCTCCAATCAGGAATTCATCATATCAATCCTTCACTCAAAGTCAACTCATCATTTAAACATCAAACATATCAATTATCCATCCATTATCAAATCACCAATTTGGTATCAATCTTTCAATCAATCATCAATCGAATACAACTTCATGATTTCCTTCATGGAAATCATCTCCATCACATATAATATGCAATGCATGAAATGTAGACTCTCTATTTGTTATTAATTTGCGCGCTAAGGTCACCATACGCCCACCCCGCTCGAGCTCATCATCGTAGTGGTTATATAAAAAACCATAATCTCATCAAATCTAGGATTATCATAAATCCTTTCATTATGACCGCATCCCAATCTTCTCATAGGGGTAGGCATAGGCCCTTCTATGTCTATGTGATTTTACATGATCAAACAATATCAGTTTCTCTCTTCCGTCATATCTCAATCGATCCAAGAAATCGACAGCGTCCCATTAATATTCCCAGTCCATGTGTATCTCACATAATCTATGTATACTTTCATGCATTGCATGATCTCAATATAATCATCATATCATCTCAATAATATAATAATCCATCCTCTTCAATCAATCTTGACATAACTACAGATACTCAATTTATCAATACCTCACTCACTCATCATAATCATTTATCACGTCAACATTTCATCCACATTAATAGTAATACAAATCGATCATGATAATATCTCATCCACATCATCATTAATCAAAGCATTCGTCCTATCAATATTGTCACAAAACATCTTAGTAACATTCATATTTATACAAACTGATATTCTAATCACGTCATACTCATACACATCAATCATATCATTGTCCATCAATCCATATCATAATCATACAATCGATCATCAATATATATTTCATTCATCATCAAATCATTTACCATACGAACCATATAATCTAAAATACATCAGTTTACCCATATCTTCCATTAATTATATCAAAATATCAATTAAGCATAGTAAGATTAAAATCTCGTCTTCATCTATTAATAACTTGAATCATTCTAGAAAGGATCATACCCAATATATAATTCTCATGATTATCAAAAGTTCATTTGAAAATGTCTCCCTTAATAACACATCATTCAATAAGTAATTCTTAAAGTACAATCTAAATCATAGTTCGTTATAATTCATTAATAAGTCAACCTTCAATATTTCAATTAAATACTCAATTAACCATATCTCAAAATTAATCTTAAAACGTAAATTAAATTTAGACCAAGATAAAATATCTCATGGTAATCACTTTGAACTCACACTCTAGTTTAAATAATTTTCTCTTAATTACCACTATTCAGAAAATCATAATACATTCTCTTTAATAACAAAACCACGTAGAAACCGGTTTTATCCATCCAAAAATCCAACTAAGTTCATAAATTCTTTATTTTAATTATTCTAACCCGAATTCACTTCTCATATACTCATCCAATTTATTAATTCCCAATTTCATCCTTTTAACATCATAACATCAATTAATTCCAAAAACTCAATTATTACCAATATAATCATGCTCATGGTAAGATCTCATGACTACAATTCATCTCAAATTCCTTAAATATCCTTTCCTCATTCTGATCTCAGTTAATATTTTAAGCAAATACTTTGTATTCACTACATACGCCAACAATTCGAATACGAGAATATTAATAATTATTATTATAATACTCAGTTAAATTCATCAAAAATTTCATCCAATACCATAATCAAGTAGGAATCACAAATCCATCATAGTAATCCATCATCAATTCAATCATGCGCATTTAAAGATAAACACGTAATTCCGGTTCCCTTTTACCGTAAGCTCACACACCTTATTTATGAGGAAACTGATTCTGTGGAGACTCTATAAATTCCAAATATCACTTCTATAATATTCTCCTCATCCTCACGATCCTGTAGGCGAAGACGGTTCATCATTTGGATGTCAAACGAACGAACTATGAACGAAATATGAATTCTCTAACAACTCAAAACACTAGGTAATGGTTTCGTAATTTTTCAGTCAGCATCTGATCATTGACCTCTTTCACAGGTAAATTACGGAAAGGTACTCAAACATTTCAAACTCACAGTAATGGTACCTGAACCGATCGATTTTCATTCCAACTTCACAAGCTCGTATCTTACTCGTCCGACGTCGAAAATGGGTTTCGTCGAAATGTGTGCGCTCCTGAGATCGTCCTCTTTGTCATGGTACCAAACTTTTGGAATTTTGTTGAAGTCAACGACGCCGGTGCCGCCGACGCAACTTTCTGGCGAGCCTCGGACGAACTCTTACGAACCTCCAAAGGTGATTCTAACTTCGTAGATGGGTTTCACACCTCCATATTATCCTAAGGGCTCGTTTAATATCATTTTGTTGTTGTTGTGGTTGCATTGGAGTTGGGACAACGAAGTTACAACAAAAACAGAAAAAAAATCAGAAAACACAAATCTGTTTAGTTGGTAAATATGAGAAATCAGGTAAGCTGACAACAAGAAACAAAAACGCGTTTAATTACTTCTGTAGGAACTAAAACCAGAAATGAGAGATATATTTTCAATAATAAGCATAGCCTCGCATATATAATAATAGTTGAACATCTTTTGTATCGGTTTCAAGTTTCAACTCAACTACAAAACTTAGAACACTTTACATATGTTCTTCTATAAAAAAACAGTAACAAAATTTTACTATACAATTCAGACCACTCCTAGCTCAAATGTAGATGCACGAGGAATGTACAGCCCATAGCTTGGTACCCTGGTAGAACAATAAATCCCCAGAAGGTTGATGGCTCTATTTCTTCAATAAATCATATCCATGGTAGAACAAGGTATCATAACTTTGTCCCCTGATGAACAATAAATCCCCAGAAGGTTGATGCCTCTATTTCTTCAATAAAAAAGCTTCCCTGATGTAATTTTCCTCTTCGTGGCCATCTCCGACAATCCAAAACCAATTCTCCAATTCAAAAAAATTGCCTCAATACAAATTTTCCTCAATTACAAAACAAACTTCCTACTTGCAGTAACGCAACATCCAACATATTCAAACTCAATGAAGTCAGGAGTATATAATTCACACACAATCCAACTGAAATCAATGACAAATTAAAAAAGACAAGGAATCGGAGACTTACTGCTAATTTGAAACTCAAACGATCGTCGCCTTCAATCGTCATCACCTTCCTTAACCCGCCGCAAAATCCCAATATTCAGAGCCCTCTTCTACTGATGTGGCAATCCTTCACCGACCTTTTTTGCTTCTTACCTTCTCCTCCGCCGCCATTGGGGTTGGAGTCATAGTCGGAGGGGAAGAATAAGAAGCTGATCTGTGGGAGTCGGCCGGAGAGGGAGATGCAGAGAGTTGTGCGGCGGGTTTGAATGAAAATGAAGGGAGGCTCGTTGCTGGGAACAGGGTTTGGGATAAAATCATTGATAAAAAAAATGAAGCAGGGGGCCACTGGGATTTGAACAGGGGATGGGTTTTAATGAAAACACATCTCTAACCAGTAGAAAACCTGCGTGCAACGCGTCAGAAAAACATATATGAAGCTACAAATTTATGTTTCGTTGGTTTGGGCTGTGTTGCCAAACCCCATTTCACAACAACAAAAAGAAACAATACTGAACATGTTTTTTCTCCTCAGTTTTTGCATTTTTACATTTAGCAACAGGAAACAAAAACACACAACAATACTAAACGGGAAGCAAAGAGAAAAATGCTTGGTTTCCTCCCCTTTTCTTTCTTCCTCACTTCTTCCTTCTCTCGCTCTTTCTCTGTACTCATTTCCGGAGGAAAATGGAGTTGTGAAGTTGGAAGGGATGAAAAAATGCTCATATTCGTTTTTTTAGGGTTAGTGATAAGGAAAATGATGACATGACAGTGGAGCTACAAATACAATTTGTTGAAAACATGTCGTTTTGAAGTGGCCCTATGCTATGGTCAGTTGGTTGAATCGGCCGAATTTCCCGATTTTATTAGATTTTCCTGGGTTTGACCGTGCTTTCTTCTACGCTCGTTGAGATACTCGAGTTCATACATAATTGGTTCGACTGGCCGAGTCAAACTCGGGTTGACAATCATGGTTATGACTCTTGTCTTTGTTTGAAGATACATTGATCAAATCCTAATACTCGTCTCTTTTTCTATAAATAATATTGATAAATAATTGTGAAGACAAAATTATCATTCCTACTTTCACTCTCATTGTAGGAAATTTGAAATGGGGCAGATATTTTCTCATTCTAGTATTATATATTGTGTAGAGTGTATATGTAGACATGTCTTTTCCCAACAAATTTATTAGCACATAAAAAGGTGAAATGAACTAACATATTAAACTTAACCTTGTCTAATGATTGTTGGATCCAATCAATACCGAAACAAAAAGAGGTTTAAAACTTAATGGTTAGATAGGCTAATAAGTTCAAAGAACCAGTCTCATATAGCTTGCACAAAGATATGAATATGATTTCTTCATAGTAGTTCAAAAAATTAATACTAATTTAAGAATTATGCATATTGAATACTGGCATTCAATATGCAATATTTGAGTTATAAATTTTAAAGTTATTCTTATTTTAAAGATAGATAGAAATTTAAATTAAGTATTAAAATATAGTTAAAATACAATTCAGATAGATAGATAGAAATTTTAATTAGCTTCATGAATATTTTTAATTAAAAAAAATAGGGTTAATACCACTACAACACCCGAACTATCGCGAAAATGCCACTTGTGTCCTATTGTTTCCAATATTCCATCTGTGTCCTGAACTATGATACTTTGTGTCATTTGTATCCTGTCAATTTCGTTGACCGTTAAAGATAACGGTTGACTAAACGGTGGTCAACGCGAAGTTGACTTTTGTTGACGTGGCAAAAAAAGAGGCTGCCAAATAGGTGCCACGTCATTGACCTAATATTTTTTTAATTCAAATTAAATAAAAAAAGGAGTTAAAATTAAAAAAAATGTAAATTCAGTTATGTTATTAAACCAAAATTTTAAAACAAAATAATAAAAAACTCTTCTTCTTTTCTACCGATTCACACTCTCCCTCTCTGAAAAATCTCCCAATCCGGCTCTGAGAATCTCTCTAAAAGATAACCCAACTCGCCAATCTTTCATCGTGCCGCTACTATGGCCGGAACCCAGAGAATGGGGTTAATTGAAAATCAAAATCCCAAATCGGGTAATCGTCAGAATCCAAATCGATTCTTTTGAATCCCATCATCGAAGAAGAAGCTCGAAGATATCGGCGGCAGGGAAGCCGGTCCCGGAGACAGTATCCCTGGCGGCAACAAGCCCTGTTGAGATCCCCCCATCAGTTGACCCATTTCTACCCCTTCCATGAAGAAATCCCCCAAATCCCCATTCCCACCCTGCGGATAAATCGATGAATTCCCCTTATAACCTGGTTGCTGGCGACATCGCGCCGGGATCGTCGGTGAAAGGATTGGAGGAGGAGGAGGAGGCCGCGGCGGAGGAAGAGCCGGTGAGGCGTTGAACTAGGTTCATGAAATCGTGGGGATTGGTGAGGCGTGTAGATTATGATGGGGGCGCGTGGCTGCGACTGCGGGTGGGATTGATGCTGCTGGATCGTGTGTGGGTGTGGATTGGGGTTGGGAGCGACGAGAGGCTTCTTGATTTTGTGGGAATCTTTGCGGACTTTGAACGCCGGCGGGCGGTTAGATTTCAGACGACGGGATCTCTTCAGATCTGGAGGTTGTTGCGGTGGTAGAGGAGAGTTAGGAGGGCCGACGGCGATGAACACTGAGTGGGGATGAAGCTTTGCGGCGATGAGATCTGGGTGTTGATGGCGACTTCCCGGAGAGGGCTCCCGGCAGAGGGTTCCACCAGACGGCGGGAGGAGACGTGGAGAAGGGATGGGGAGGGTTTTCTATTTTTTTTATTTTTTATTAAATGAAAATTGATAATGAAAATTCCAGGTCAAATGCCACGTCAACGCTGACTGGATTTTCTGTTAAATACTAACGGTCAACGCCAGTCAACACTAACGGAATAATAGTTCAGGACACAGATGGAATATTGGAAACAATAGGACACAAGTGGCATTTTCCGGATAGTTCGGGTGTTCTAGTGACAAATCTATGTTGTGTGATTGGTCATGATTCTTCTCTTTATTTGGAATGATCAAGGTTCAAATATGACAGAAACAAACTTGGTATTATTTTTCATTATTAAAAAATCAGAATGTCAATTACTATTATAACCCTAACTACAATTAAGGAGAACACAAAGAATTAAAAATGGTGGAAAATGTGATGAAACTCTGCCATATATTATAGAGGGATTAGGAATAGTGGTGAGGGGGTGCAATTGGGAGTAAGTTCACACATATGTGTGTGTATTGATGAATCATTGAATCTATAAAAACTGGTTAATCGTAAAAAAATGAATCTATTACCAATTCACATTTGATGATTGATATAGAGCCTACAGTCGAATGACCATCCATATAATTACGTGAAGCCGGACTTTTTCCTAAAATACAGTAAAAAAATTTAAAAAATTCCTAGAATACATCACTTTTATAAAAAATACCCAAGTTTGGCACGGTTCGAGTTTCTCAAACTCGAACTACATACCAGATCGAAGTTTTTAAACTCGATCAAAATTTGGATCGAGTTTGCCAGAATCGATCCGAAGTGCATCGAGTTTTCCTAACTCGATCTAGTTACATCGTGGTTTTGTAACTCGATCCACGTTTGCATCGAGTTTGTCGGACTCGAACTACGTTGATCTTGGCTCTACGACTCGATCCATGTATGCATCAAGTTTGCATGACTCGATTTATATGAATTATTGATCGAAGATTATTGGTGGCACTAGATCGAGTATTAGGGACTCGAACTGCTACTAGTTCGAGTGTATGAGACTCGAACCCTTCTCCAATTATTCTGCCAAGTCGTTTTCCGCCCGACATGCTTCAGGATAGGGTGCAAGGATAAAATTTTTGGTCCTTATTGATAGAGTCCCTTGCACTCGAAATGCACTAGTTCGATGGACACAACCTCGAACCATGTCATTAGTTTACGAAAATAAAAACCAAGCACTCAGCACATCCTGGCAGCTCATATACTTTCTATCTTCTTTCTTCCAAAAACACAAACTGCACCTGCTGGAGCACCATAACTGAACAAAGAACAAGCATTTTGGAGGTAAGTTCTGATTATGTTGGTGAGTGAGCATTATTATTTTGGATTGATTTAGTATTGTTTGAACGATATGTAATGGGTTATTTCTATAAATTGCATAAATTGGTAAAAAATTTCAAAAATTTGACCTATTGATTCGGTTGAATGGTCGAATTACATATTTTCATAATAGTATTGACTACGAAGGTGGTGAATCAAGTACTGTCCTGATTGAGAGCATATTTACTTGGCAAGATCTCTGCTGCATTTGTGCAGAACGATGTTGCATAGGGTTGCAAGAGTATGCAAGATGACTTACCGTATGTTAGTTTACTAAGGATATGCACTTGTATATGAAGGATCAATTATGTATGACGATGATGACATTAATATGATGGTGAGATTTATTGCAGAAAATAGATTTCCAATTGTCGAGGCGTATGTCGAGACTAAAGATGTTGGCCAGTATAGTGGTGGGGTTATACCGAACCAAGTTAAGGATAGGGTGGAGTTTCCGGTTCTGGATATTTTGGAGGTCCAACTGATGTACCACATCTTCTCGAACTTGCACAGGGACTCTAACTGGCTCTTACCAATGTTTACTTCTCCTTGGTGGCGATGGCGGGAGGGATTCAACTTCAATGGCATGGGAGGAATGACGTGGCGGTGCAGTGCAGGTGGATATTTAATGAGATCCCTTTGAATTTACCGCGAACATGACAGGAGATTCTTGAAGAGCTTCTTCAAGAATGAAAATTTCTCAGACCCCAAAGTTGGTTCTGGTTCAGTCTCTAGAGTCATTGACGCAAGTTCCAACCCATCAACCTAGTTAATCAAATACTCTCTGTGTAGCTAAAGTAAATAAGGGAAAATAGATGTATGCTTACCAACGATACGAGGATGACACCACGTTTAATTACCCATCTTTTTGTGAACTTGCGGTACCAAACCATATATTCATCTTGGTACCCCCATTGGTCTTGTCATTGGGATGTCATCAATTGCATACTATGACGAGTCTCCCACATACCAATTCATACTTGGTGCTTGTTTGGCCAATTACTTACTGTACCATAAGCCGCTTGTCGTAGTGGCTCTTCGGGACCCCAACTGTTGGCGAGGCAGATCGGAGCGAAAGTTTGAAGGTGCTCCCAAACCCATAGTTGGAGGATGAACATGGCACCACCCGCTTGCTTTATTTTCAAGTCCATACACTTGCACAACTCCGCATATATCATCGCCAAACAAGCATATCCCCAACTTTTCTCCCAATCTCGTCTCTATCTCTCAAAAGAACTCAGAGCCACGTACATTGTAGATTTCCACCAGACTTGTTCGGAAACAAAAATCTTCCAACAAAATAAATTAGGTAGATGCGAGCATACCTCTCTATCTGATCATCCGTGGCATCCGCCGACAACGAACCAAAGGTCCTCACTAGCCAATGGATCGATAGCACAGACTTGTGTAGAGGTGGTACATGACGATCTTGTGGTGCTTTCTCAGCGATGTTGATGCCTAAATTCTCACTTATGAATTGGCCCCAACCATTCAATAGTTTCTGTGAACTCTCGATTATGGCATCACCATTGATTGAAAGCTCTGTCAGCATGGCCACGTCCTTCAACGTAATCGTCATCTCTCCCTCTAGAAGGTGGAATGTGTGTGTTTCTTTTCTCCACCTTTCCACCATTGTCGTAAGGAGGTTGTTGTCCATCTCCATCACCACGAAGTTTCACACCCTCAGCAATCCCGTTCTTTCAATGAAGGGCTCGATCCGAACACCCCATTTAGACAAGCGAGATAGCGACCGATGGATGATTACGTCAAGTTGTTCATGTAGAAAAAAATCTTAATTATTATACGAAAAAATTAAAATAATAGTATCGCATTTAAAAAAAGAGAAGGTACATCAGAAAATGCTTACCGGCTTTGCCGCCCACACACTTTCAGAACGATGTTAAGGTTGCTCATCCAACAAATCGATTTCTCGCGGTCCGCCTTGAATGTATAAGCTAGGATAGTAAATACTCGGGTCCATCTAGGAAATTTTGAGGGATAGAGATACCAAACTAAAGAAAAAAAATTGATGCAGAAGATCGGGCTTAGCCGCAATCACAAAGCATATTCTGTTCTTCAAGAGTGGTGGAAGGAAGAGAGGAAGAAGAGTGGAGTGGTGTGAGTTTTGGTGGAATTGGGGGGGGGGGGTATGTATAGGTGTTGTGGGAGGTAGTGGATCGAGGGAAGCACACTTGAACCAATAGATCGAGTTTAGGGCCATCGATCAGTGTCAACATCTGCTCGAGATGGGAAAAATCGAACGACTGAGATCGAGTTTTGTGTATTCGGTCTATGGTGGAGCGTGTCTCCTGTCATCGGTCCGTGTATAATGGTTCGAGTCCCGAAGCTGCGATCCGGGCGGATCGAGTTCCCCGCACTCGGTTCGTGTCACACCTACTTGGCGACAGAAGCAATCGAACAGAGGGGATCGTCTTTCGCAAACTCGATCTAGGGTAGAACGCGTCCTACGTCATCGATCCGTGTCATATTGATCGAGTCCTCCTTAGTCGATCTGCGTCGTCGAATCTCGGCCAATCGTTGCCCTTTCACTCGATGCATATGGGTCGCTGACCTGGCAATCGATCTAGTGGTAGATCGAGTTTATTATCTGTGCCAAACTTTAATATTTTGGGAATTTTTATAAAAATAATGTATTGAAGGAAATATTTTTAATTTTTACTGTATTTTTTAGAGAAAAAATCTCGTGAAGCCAGGCAAGCCACCAAGCCAATGAGGGCAGCGAGGGACGATGCTTCATGCTGCAGCCTCCAGACCCTACTGGACCTACCACTACTTAAAAAATAAATAAGAGCCACAAATGAGAAGACTGGCCCGGCCCACGCCACGCTCACAAGGAGCCAAGAGACAGCAGCCCATTGACCACTCGCCACCTCATGTTCCATTTCCCCTTCCTTCCGGTCTGGTGCGCGCCCCCAGAGATCTCCAGAAACATGAATCCGGACCCGTATCACTTGCATATCTTAATTTTGGCATTTATGGCGCCATTAATTTACAATCTAATCATATTTAACGATCACACACTTTAAATGAACCATTTTACCCTCATTAAGAAATCTAATCAGTTTTCAGTTCTCCCCAAATAGTGATTATGCGTTGAAGTATCTCCGATTATTATAACATAAAAATCTAAACATGTTATTGATGGTCAACTGGTCATAGATCGACTGCCGGACTTTCACTCCCGCCGTGGCCGTGCCATATTAAAATATCGCATCGGGAATTAATAATAAATAAAATATAAAATTACACTGACCATAGAAAAAAAGGAGAGTCCAGTCCCCATGGATTTTACAAAAACAGCCCTCGCCAGCTCCCGTGTCGACCCGCCGGCCACTGACGGCCTCCAATGTCAAACGGGTAATTATTAATTAAGTTGAATCCAGGGGTATATTTGGTATTCCACGCTCAGTCGGTCCCGTGTGCCTTTTTATAATCAGACTTTCAGGCCCGGTGAGAGTTGCAATATTCCACACGAAACCAACAACCTCGAGCTAGTTCGCCGTTTCTTCCCACTTTCCCCTCCGGCTCCCGCATTCCGCCCGCTACGGTAGACCAGTGATCCCATTTCTGCTCACACCATAAAAACCCCACACAGAGAGGCGTGGAAGAGAGGAAAGGAGAAAACCCCATCTTCCATTTTGCGCTGCTCTTGTTCTTCTTCCTTCGTGAAGAGTGTGATTGACTGTAATATACGGTCTTTTGGCTCGAATCGCCGACTCCTCCCTGGAGGTTTTGTGATCTGTCGATTTTCGGAGGTCCCCGGGAGATTCGAAGGGTTTGGTATATATACACGTCGGAGGTTCGTTCAATCGAGGGAGGATGGAAGCAGCAGCTACGGCTTCTGTGGTCGTCCAATCGTCCGGCGTCGGGTACTCGACGCAGTCGGCTTATGTCGGTCGATTAGGGTTTCTCTCCGCAAGTGGACCTGATTTCGTGCGGGTATCTTCTTCCTCTGCCAGGGTATGAATGCTCTCTCTCTCTTTCGCTTTCAAAATTTAACCCCTTTATATGATTTGGTACTTGGGATAAAGGGTTCTGGGTGTTTGCACGAGATTTGGACGCATGAAAGATTGGGATTGGTTTTCCTTGCAAAGTTTGGAACTTTTTCATTTCGGTTCCCTTACTTGAACGACGTATCGTGTTTGTTGTTAGTTTGGAGTACGTATCCAGTTGCAAAGTTTGTTATTAGTGTTTTGTCTGTGGAAGCGTAACTAGAAGGGAATTGAACAAGGCAGAGGAAGTGATGGAGCTCAGATCAGATACAATCAATGAACCGTAGCCAACTTTTGTTGTAGGATTGATTTTGGTCACTGTCTAACGTTAACACTTGTGTGATTGCAGCAATTCTCCTCTGGATTAGGCTTCAAGTCTGGGCGGAGAAGAGTATCCTTGACAAGTAGAAGATGCTCCATCGTTAGGGCATCCACATCTTCATCATCTCCTCAGCCAGACTCCACGGATGGATCGATTTCGTCAATCGCTCCCCTGCAGTTGGAGTCTCCAGTGGGACAGTTTCTATCTCAGATCCTACTCAGTCATCCTCATCTTGTGCCAGCAGCAGTGGAGCAGCAGTTGGAGCAGCTTCAGACTGACCATGACTCAGAGAAGCAGAACGATGATCCTTCTGCTGCGGGTACAGACTTGGTGTTGTACAGGAGAATTGCCGAGGTGAAGGCCAATGAAAGGAGAAAGACACTGGAAGAGATCTTGTATGCATTAATCGTGCAGAAATTTATGGATGCGAATGTCTCCCTGGTGCCAACTCTGGCCCCACCTTCTTCAGACCCATCTGGCCAGGTTGATTCGTGGCCAACCGAAGAGGAGAAGAAGCTCCAGCAGCTTCACTCTGACGAGGCCTACGAGATGATCCAGAACCACCTCTCCCTCATACTCGGGAATCGGTTAGGAGAGTCATCAGCTGTTGCCGAGATAAGCAAGCTTCGCGTGGGCCAGGTCTATGCAGCTTCTGTGATGTACGGCTACTTCCTGAAGCGTGTAGACCAAAGGTTCCAGCTTGAGAAGACGATGAAAGTTCTTCTAAATCATCAGCAAGACGCGTTGGAGCATGATGTGAAGACCAGTGGCACAGATGGTTCGTACGAGGCTGTGGAGTCCCACCCAGAAGCAGCGCCATCTGGTTGGGCTGGTGGGATCAGTCCCGGTGGGTTTGGCTCCGGGATCAAGCCCTCTCGGCTGAGGAGCTACGTGATGGGCTTTGATGGCGAGACGCTTCAGAGCTACGCGACAATCAGGTCGAAGGAGGCTGTCACCCTCATCGAGAAGCACACCGAGGCACTGTTTGGAAGACCGGAAATCATGATAACTCCTGAAGGCACCACCGATACGTCAAAAGACGAAGTCGTCAAGATTAGCTTTGCTGGTTTGAAGAGGCTTGTGCTGGAGGCCGTGACTTTCGGTTCTTTCCTGTGGGATGCTGAAGGGTATGTAGATTCCAGGTACCGTTTGGTTATGAATTAAGTAGTGTCAAGTGCGGTGGAAGGAAGAACCTGTTGTGGTGAAAGGCTTGGCTGACCATATGTGAACGTGCTGCGACAGACGAGTGTAAATCTGGTAGTGTGTACCGTTTGGACGTGGGAACTGATTAGTTATGGTGTAAATAAGTCATGAAACTTCTTCTGTTCTCTCTAGCCTTTTTAGTTGTCTTTTCCCTTGTTTAGTCTGAGAGGATGATAAGTAGTGTACCTTAGGCATGTTAAGGAATTCAAAGGTCTCGTTTGGGATTCTAGATTTTAGATTTAATGGTTTTATGGAAACACCAGATTTCTTTTTGTTTTCTTTGGTAGAAAATGAAGTACCAGAATTCGGTTTGCTGATACTGATATTGAGCATTTCTGCGAAGTGTGAAGCAGGAGTCAGGGAAATGCAAACGATACATGAATGTTTATTAACTGGTTTATTACTAAATCAATATAATACATGTCTCTGAATTTCCAACGGAATGTCTTGTTTACTGATCACCGATGAGTCTACTTTTGAGCATAGTATAGTACACGGTCCACAGACTGGACCAAATTATGATAAAAATCGTGGGACAAAGACTTGATCGTATTATATTTAATATGATCCAATGCAAATGTCAGTTTAATCCATTGCAGTCCGATATTAATGAAACCATTGGACACCCTAATTGTATGTGTTCGATGTTAAGTGAGCTTTTAACTCAAAAACTCACCTGAGAGCTTTGTTGGGTTTTGACTTTTGAGCCTCCAACACAATGGTCATTAGTCACCTAAAGGCTAAGGCCTTGTTCGGTTTGTACCTTAATTTTTATATGTTCTTCTAGCCCATTTGCCATTTGAGGCTTATTTTATTATATATAATTAGTGGGTATGCTTTTTGCCCAATTTCCTTGCTACTGTTTCAATTTTTGGCTTTTAGTGAGCTGCTACCCCAACCCTTTCACTGAGCTCCTTTCAAGCCCGACTTTGGAGACCACCCAGAACCACCAGAAGTTCTCGGCTGCTGCACTGGGCGACGTGCGTTTCTCCCTGCTCCTCCAGCAACTTCATTGTCCTTCTTCCAGTTACATCTTTTCTGCATATGGTCCTGCACGCCACCACCCATGTCGCTTTTAAAGAGCTTTTTGAACACGCCTCCTTCCCATCCTGTCAGTTCGTCACTCAGCTTTCCTTTCCCGTACATCCAACCCATGTCTTCCTTCTACGTCTACAGTGTTTTCCTCTCCCCATCAGTTGGCTACGATTGTACTTGGTGGAGACAAATGGTTCCCCTCTTTCCCCCCACCATAACCCCCTTCTTGGCTTCTTCTCTCTAGCAACGAAAACCCTAAAATTTCCTCGCTGCTGGTCGTCGTGGAACCCGAACCCGAAAGGAGGAAGACGAAATCGATTTGGAACAGGAGTACCAACGGCGGTGGACAGAATCACCTATCATGGTGAGATCTTATTATCTGTCTTTCTTCGTCAACATTTTAAATTTCACCAACTCGGTTTCGAGCTCTCGCTGCAGAGCACGGTAACAATGAAGATTCCAATAACATGATTTCGTCGAGTTCAAACTCTAGCCTTACCCGCGGGGAGGAGCAACGAAAAATGACAGTGGTGCTGATGATGGACCAACTGGAGGATGGGGTGAGAGTTGGTGGAACCGATGCTGTTCAGGAAGGAAGACGGGAAAAGCTCGGAGGCGGCCGAGGAGGGGCGAAAGAACAAGGAGACGAGAAGGAAGGGGAAGGAGGAAATATCACCACCCTCGACGAGAATGTAAGCAGAAGGAAACTCTTCTCTATCCAATTCTTGGTTTCTTATAGACAAGAAAACATATTTGAATTTGCAGATTGATTGTCCTCTGTGCTATGCTGCAGTACCTTCTTAATAGTGTGGCATTTTCTTTATTTGGCTTTTAACTTCTAATGCTTTTCAATTATAATTGTTCCTTAATTTTCTCAATGAATGGTTGGTGTCTTTTGTTTACATCCATTTATTGGAAAACATGATCATATTTATGTTATGCAAATCAAAACATATATTGGGATTTGTTTCCTACTAATGGATCATGATAAGCTTTTTCCCCTTGATTAAAGTGCCCTCTGCAGCTACGTCAATAGGATCCAGTACCTCAGGAGAAACTAACTTGAAATATATGTTGTCATGCCTTTAGACCACCTAATTAATCTACATGATATAGCGATCGCTTGGTAATTGCAAATGCTGTGTGTAACCAGCATCACCTACATTTTGAACTCTGTTGGTTGTTCTATTTTCATGTGTTAGGCAGCTCTGTTGGCTTCGATTGATCTTCTTGAAGTGTTATTAGTGGAACATTCATGCAGGCAAGTTCATATGTAGTTTGTATCTGCAGCACGTTTGCGCTATGTGTTTGGAGGAACTCTGAGCATTGTTTCCTTTTGTGTTCTGCAGAAGAAGTTGGCTAGGGGGAGCTAGAATTTTATGTTGATTTATTAGACCTCTTGATCATCAGCAAGAGGTCATGGTGTGCAGCAAGAGCTCATTACTGGGATGGATACACTTGAGCTTGAATGACGATTCAGTTTTTTTTTTTTGTGTTATTGTTCACCTACCTGAGGTTTTGTTCATTTATATTTTTCATTGTCCAATGATTTCTTCCAAGAAGAATGGATACACATGAGCTGCCATCGGACCGTGGTACTCACTGCTACACCAGTCACATAAATCAGTCACATAAAGAGGAAGGGGAACAAACGAAGTCTCTGGGTTAGCTTTAGCACTTGAAATCGTTGGAGCCAAGTTCGAGGATTCTCCATTTTTTCTCTGCACTCCATGCGTGCCCTAATTTGGAAACATTGGTGCTCTTTGGCTGTGAAGGAAGCAGTAACGTCTCTATTGACTCCCCCCATTTGCACCAGTGCAAGCTGGACTTTTATGGTAAGGTGCTTGAGATACAAGGTTGTAGTTGGATTATGGTTCGTGGGACCAAATGCTTGAAGAATCTTACCATCTCCAACAGTTCAGGTACAAAGTCTTCATTTTAAGATGTAACATCTATTAACTGTTGTTCTTATTATTTTTGAACTTGACGTGTTCACTTACGAGTTACGAGGCATTGCTCAAGGGATGCTACAAATCTGGAAGGAGGCAAAGCGCTTTAGCTGTCACTAAAGAAATGAGTGCCCAAAACATTCCCAGAAGCTGTTTCGTCTGCAACATATTAATTGACGGGTGAGATTCTTAGGCAGATTGGTTCATTTGTTTTTTCCTTCTATTCTGTCTAATTAATCGACGGCGATTATTTTGAGATGGGCTCGGGGAGGTGATGTGTGGGAGGCTACTGACCTTATGCAATTAGTGAAGCAAGAGGAAGTGCAACCTGATATTCACACTTACACTTCATTTATAATTGCTTGCTGCAAGGCTGGTTACTTATTTCAGTTGACGATGACCTAACAAATGGTCACACTAAGTTTGTGTCTCTCTTTGTATTGAATTTCAGAAATCAGCAAAGACCATGGAGGAAATGGCAGCCTTTGGAGTGAAGCCAAATGATGAAACATACACAGCCTTGATCTGTGGTTGGGCTCCATTCATCTCTGCCTGAGATGGCGCTTGAAATACTTTGGAAAAATGAGGTACGAAGGATTAAATGCTGACGAATCTGTTTACCATTGCTTCATGACATCGCTTCTCTCGAGGGCTACCATGGCTGGGCCATGTTTTATTTACTCTAGGATTCTATCAATCTGCAGAGAGATGGTGGAATATGAGTTGACATTCTATATGGCCATGACGATCGACTGATCCAAGTTTTTGTGCAAGTTTGAGAGAACGGTGGGGACATCACAGAGGCACTGCAGAAAACCTTCTCTCCAGAGGAAGAGTGGAGTTCAGGGAGAGCATACATGGTGGATTTTAGCAAACTCACGACGCTTGGATCCTTAAGTATGAGAGGAATCTGGTGGTGTTGGGATGCTGCCAGAAGAATGCTTCAATGTTCTATGCAAAATGCATGTGTTTTATGTTTTACTTGGTTCTTTTTATGGTTCTCTATTCTCTTGCCTCCCATCTCCAACGACTGCTCACCGTCACCAGCCTCCAGCCTCTCTCAACCCAATTCTCCCTTCTGCACTGCAAGACTAACATGGTAATTAAGCTTTATCCTCGGTTTCCTTTATGGTAATTTTGAAGTGGGTTGGCTGATTGAATTGTTATCTTTTAGGGATGACATACTACCTAAGGAAGAGATCCATGTCATGTTCAGGGATTGGAGATCATGAGTTAGAAGGGGGTAATAATGGTGGGATCAGTTGGATGAGTTGTCAGATGATGGGTCACAGGCAGGGGAGAAGTGGAGGAGCTAGAACATGGAACAAGTGAAGACATTGGAGAACAATATTGAGCCAACGGGGGAAATGCAGTTGGCTAGAGCTCTCGGGCTGCAGCCTAGGTGGATTGGTATTTGGTTCCACAACAGGAGAGCCAGGTGGACGACCAAGCAGCTTAGAAAGATAATGATGTCCTTAAGAGACAGTTTGAGGCTGTCAAAGCTGATAATGGTGCCCTTTAAGCTCACAAACAGAAGCTTCATACTGTTACCTTAATTAACCACCAGACAATTATTCGACTGCAACTTTAGTTCCTGCGGCGTTGCGTAGCCGCCGCAGGTATTGATTCTAGTAAGCTTGGTGCATGACTGCATAAGTCTCTCACGACAAGAGAGCTTATTAAGCCTTGATGAATTATGTCATCATCGGATGATTCCATTTGTAAAAGTTCTTTCTTTATTCAAAATCAACAAAGACTTCACAATCAATGGTATGCACCAATGCATTTCAAAGATTCCATGTCGAAATGTGCACTAGGAATATTAGGACAAACAAACGCCTATAACGGTGCAAAGATAATTGAACTAACAAGTTTAGCACTCACACAAAAAAAGCACTTCATATAAACTTGTGTGCCATGGTCACACACCACGCTTGATAAAACATACATCTTTTCATCGTATGAAATACAAAAAGTGAAAATGCAAGTGAAATATCGTCACTTTAATTTTTTGTTTTTGCTGACATGATTAAGTAGGATTGGGTTTAAGTTTAACAATTCCAATGTACTAAATACAACAAGGCATGTAAGATAACTTCTCAAATCTCAAAACATACAAAAGACAACAAGACGCTTAAGATAACTTCTCAAATCTCAAAACATACAAAACCTTCTTTTCTATAAAAATGAAGTAAGTGCATCATTACCTTTTAATTATAATTTGAGGGAACATCAAAATTCAAGACCACTGAAAGTTATATACACAAAGGCAATATATGCTATGGGATCAGAAGAACAAACAATATGAAAATCGGGGTTTAGAGAACGATCCTTTAATTAAACAATTAACTAAAACATTAAATTTCTATATGGAAAGATAGTGGTGACTATGTTATTAGGGTTTGTTTGAATGTTGGGATTTCATATGATAATGTATTCAGACAATATATATAATCAAC